CACTGCAGTCCCCCGGATCCAGTACGTATCCAGCCCAGATGGTGGATGAGCAGAAATCAGGACAACTATATAAGCCCCAGAGACAGATCCCCAGTGAAGACCTTGTCTCCTAGACGGCCACCAGGACAAGACCACAGGAACCAGTTGAGTCCTCTGGACAATGTGACTTTGCTGCAGCCTGGAATTTAACTGCTGGTTTCGTCTAGCCAGAGAACTGGCCCCCTGACTGAGCCTGGCTTCTCCCAAGGTTTTTTCTCCATTCTGTCACCGATAGAGTTTTGGTTCCTTGCTGCTGTCACCTCTGGCTTGCTTAGTTGAGGACACTTAATTTCCAGCGATATCATCGACTTGATTGCACATATACTATTTAAACTGAACTGAACTGGATGATGACATTACTGAATTCAATGATGAACTGCCTTTAACTTAAAATTGAGTGTTTACCATTGTCATTTAGCATTATTGACATACTATTTTCATATTTAATGGTGTAAAGTTGCTTCGACACAATCTGTATTGTTAAAAGTGCTATATAAATAAAGGTGACTTGACTTGACTTGACCATCACTTCGGCAAGAGCACTGTCTACGAGAAACGCTTATGCCTTGAAGTGGAACCTGTTCATCGAGTGGTGTTCCTCTCGCCGAGAAGACCCCCGGAGATGCCAAATCAGGGTCGTGCTTTCCTTTTTGCAGCAAGGGTTGGAGTGAAGGCTGTCTCCCACCACCCTTAAAGTCTATGTCGCTGCGATTGCTGCTAACCATGACCTCGTGGAAAATAAGTCAGTAACGAAGCATGACCTGGTCATCAGGTTCCTTAGGGGGGCAAGAAGGTTATATCCTCCCCAGCCCCCATCTATACCCTCTTGGGACCTGTCTCTAGTGCTCAAAGCACAACAGCAGGGCCTATTTGAGCCTTTGCAGTCAGTTGAGCTGAAGTTTCTATCAATAAAAACTCTGCTGCTGCTTGCACTGGCCTCCATCAAGAGGGTAGGGGACCTGCACGCATTTTCGCTCGACGATTTGTGCCTAGAGTTTGGGCCGGCTGACTCCCAGGTAATCCAGAGTCTATGTGCCCGGCTATGTGCCCAAGGTTCTCCCTTCAGGGATCAGGTGGTGAGCCTGCAAGCACTGCCTCCGGAGGAGGCAGACCCATCCCTAGCTTTGCTTTGTCCCATCCGAGTCTTGAGATGGTACATAGACCGGACTCAAAGCGTTAGGACCTCAGACCAGCTCTTTGTCTGTTATGGAGGCTGGCAGAAGGGGAATGCCATCTCTAAGCAGAGGATGGCCCATTGGGTAGTGGATGCCATCACCCTGGCTTATCAGGCACAGGGTGTGCCCTGCCTGCTCAGGTTGCGAGCTCACTCTACTAGAAGTGTTGCATTCTCCTGGGTGCTGGCTCATGGCGCCTCGCTGACAGATATTTGTAGAGCTGCAGGCTGGGCAATCATCAACACGTTCACTAGATTCTATAGTCTTCGTGTGGTGCCGGTATCCTCCTGTGTTCTCACCTCAAATGGGTAGAAGCACTGAGAGGCCCCGCTAACTTTTTATGCTCACGCTGTGAACAGTGGCAGCTGGATTCAATCATCGCATGCTAATGTCCATTGGATCGTTTAGATTACATTAGAGGGAGATTGGTCTCTCGAAGCGAGATCCAAATTCGTCGGTCATGACGTGACGTCTCCATTCCCTCCTTCAGGGACCGAAGGTTACATACGTAACCGAGACGTTCCACGAGGGGAACAAGACACTGTCTCGAAACGCTTTGAGAACACCCTTGCAAAACCACAAGCATGTGTGGAATATGTACAACAGAGAAACGAGACATCACGAGTGGGGTGACATGAGCAACCAGGAAGCATAAAGGTGCACCCGGCAAATTAACATGTTAGATTCTGATGAAGAGAGAGCACCTGCAGGGATGCAAGGAGTGTGGCAGAGGGACGCAGTGTCTCGTTCCCCTCGGGGAACCATGGTTACATACGTAACCTAGTGCCCCCTCAGGGGCCACACCCACAGCTTCCAAAACTCCAGCAGCTCATAGTCTGTTTGGTCACCGGAATTCTTCTTAGGTGGACCGAAGCAAACAGACAGCTGATCTGCCTTGCGCCACAGGCAGCTCTGTGACACAAGCGTCCAGTGCTCTCACTGGACAGAACACATTGCACTTTTGTCCTGCTTCCTGGAAGGGAGGAGGATAGAAGGCCTTCAGTACTATGGGGCACCTTGGCACGCTGTACTGGCCTCAGCCTCTGGGTACCATGTAGGAAACTAGTAACGGATGGGTGTCTCCCCAATGACTGACCACCCAGAAGGGGGTGGTAAGCAGCTAAGGCAGCCACGTATACCTTCAGAGTAAAGGGGAATAGCCCTGCAGAGAAACGCTCCTGCGGGACTCCAGAACTGTACCAGCTGAGCAGTTGACTGTGTCTTGCAGTCACTGTCCGCACCAAGAAGTGAAAGTCTCCACTTCGAGGTGAACTGTTTCCTCGTAGCTGGAGCTCTGGACTGGAGTAGGGTCTCAGCAACCTCGGTTAAGGGACCGGATGCTAAGAGTTGTGCCCCCTCAGGGACCACACCCACAGCTTCCATAACTCCAGCCCTCGGGACTGGCTAGAGATTTTACTTTGGTGTCCTGAAGCGGATGACCGGCAGGAAGCGACCGATCTATCCACTCTAGCACCCTCACCTGAGGGAGCCGTACCGTTGCTGGGCGGCAGGCTGGGAATTCGCTTGTTGGAGCCCACTGAGCCCTAAAGCACCGGGGGTGGCAGGTGTATCAGAGTGGCTCCCTGTGGGCACTGAGGAGGATCGGGCACCGTATACTAAGGTGTGTACCTCTCCTCCCCAGAGGGGGCTGCCCTTAGGGTCCTGACGATGGTAATGTCAGGACCGCATGACCGAGGCCTTCCTCAACAAAATAACAGACTGCAGATCCGTTTTCTGTTTTCTGTTTGGAAGAACCCGACCGATTATAGTTTATCCCACGATCTCGACACCTCGGTGTGGAGATCAGGAAAAAATGGAAGGCCCCTGCGTGAAGGCTGTAAACTCATGCGCAGAAAGTGCTCATCTAATTTACTTTTGGGACAAGCGTCCTGCTTCTTGGCTGGCCAGTCGATGTTTAACTTGGCTACAGCATGAGTTACAACCTCCACTAACTCCTCATATGTGAGGGACTGTGGTGGCGAGTCCACAGTCTCCTCAATATCGACACTCATTACATCAACCTTCTCAGAGGAAGACGGATGAAGTGCCTTGCTTTCTCTCTGGGGGGAAAAAACCGCAGCGCGTGCTTCCGAGCCCTGAGAGGGCGCAGCGGATCCCATGACAACAGTCTGCGCTGTGCATCGGCAACAACGGGACCGCGAGTCTGACTGCTCTCATCAAAATGGGCAGGTGGGAGCAGAGCACACGAAGCGAGAGCAGCTCACAATCATGACAATCAGCTCCCTCGAGAGCTGATCGTGCATGCACCACACCCAAACAAACAACACACAGATCGTGTGCATCCCCACCCGCAAGACAACATGGGCAGGGAGGAACACAATATCTGAAATGTTGTTTGCTCGCCACAGATTTGATTTACACTTGCTCATTGTTTCTCACTTTCTATACAGAATGTAACTGACTGACTGAGTGCTTATGCAAGAGACACACACCACAGAGCAGAAGATAACATGTGCGTTTGCCAGGTGCACATTTATGCTTCCTGGTTGCTCATGTCACCCCACTCGTGATGTCTCACTTCTCTATTGGACTGATTCCACACGTGCTTCAGAACGTGAGACTCACAAGGACGTTTCTAAAGTGTTTCGACGCAGCTTGAGTTCACAGCTCCTGGGGTTGAATAAAGGCCTCCTGTAGCGAATCCATGTGTTTTTGTAAGAAAACTATCCATATTTCAAATGTAATAAACATTTTTCTTTCACTTCCGTTATCTGTCATACGCGGAAGCCGTTCCGGCAGATGACGCAGCACGTATGCACAGTCACCGCCTACACCACTCACCAATACCTTGATGAACTACACCAGCATTTGAGAACCACATTTGCTTTTGCCCAACAACGACTCCAAAAGAGCGCAGAAGGCCAGAAAGCATACTACGACCGGAAGGCATCACACAAAGAACTGGATGTGGGCGACAGGGTCTGGTACTTCAGCTACACACAGCCTCCTCAGACAACCTCTCATCGGCTATCAAAGAAGTTTCTGCCACACTGGACAGGACCGCATGAGATTGTGGACAAACTCTATTCTGTCGCATACCAGATCAAACTGAGCCAGGGACAGAAAGAACCAGTGACATGAGCAACCAGGAAGCATAAATGTGCACCTGGCAAACGCACATGTTAGCTTCTGCTCTGTGGTGTGTGTCTCTTGCATAAGCACTCAGTCAGTCAGTTACACTGTAAGCACATAACTGTACTTGTTTGCAGCAGTAGCATCAATAATCTACAACAACAGCAATAACCAACAGCAGCAGCATAAGCGTAGCAGATCTATTCCACCAAGACCAAATACATTAACATTGTCATATCCATTACCATGTTAAAATCTTCAGAGAGTTGTCATGATAGTACTTCTATTTTAGCCACAAACAACAGTTTGAAGTTAAAAAATCCAAATAGTGGATATGTTCATTACAAACATGCTGCTTTTAGCTTTACTAGATGGCTGGACTGTAGTTGTGTGGATTACTTGTGGATTATTACGATGTTTTATCAACTGTTTGGACTCATCACCCATTCAATGGTCCATTGGTGAGCAGATGATGTAATGCAAAATTTCTCCAAATCTGTTCCAATGAAGAAACAAACTAATCTAAATCCTCAGCAAATTAAAATTAAAATTAAAGTTAAATATATGTACATTGTTCACTTTATTTACATGGTTAAAACAACTTTTTACAGCACAATTTACTTGATTTACTGGGTCATTTTTTTATACATTAATTCAGTGATGCCTGCTGGGAAACTTAAAGAAAGTTCTTACCCATGAGATTGGAGCGCCCATCACCCAGAGGGTACCGCTGGTAACGGGGAACAGGAAAGGGGGGCAGTTGGGTGAAAATAGGATGCAGTAAAGGTTCCAGTCGTGAGGCAGAAGGGTCCGATGGGTAGAACAGATTAAAAATCTGAGAACAAGCTGGCTGAAGCTGAGCCACTAAAAGAGATGAAAGAGAAAACAGAGTAACATTTATCAGAAAATTATTAAAACATGACAATAAAAAAAATCACTGTAAATCACATTTTTTATTTTGGTAAAAATTTAACATTTGTGTGTGCATGTGATTTGTACCATCAATGACAGGTAAAACAGTTCTCCTCATCGCTAGCACCAGCCCCAGTGGGCATCCCAGCAGAAAGCAGTCTGACACTTCAAACTCGAAGCAGCCTGGATTGAGAGCCTGTCTGGAGCCACACTGGTCATCCTGCAACAGACTGTGAGACAGGGGGCATGAAAAGTGAGTTATCTTCATTTATTATTAACTCTTGATTAATGATTAATCACAATTAATGCTTTAATTTGATGATGATGTCATCAAAGAAGTCCTCTGCACTCCCATGATAGGTCTGTTCTTAATCCTTGATATATTCCATAGCAATCATCCAATTCAGAATAATTTCTTTAGCATAGATTCTTTATAGACCTAAAATTCCAAACCAATACATTTGTGTCTTATCAGTTAACAATCACCTTAGTTCATACTTTTTTTTCTTCCAACCATTGCACATCCCCGTCCCACTTTTAATATAACATAAATCCGTCCCACGCACTTTTTTCAGGCAAGTGTGTTCACGTAGAGGTTTTCAAGGGCCAGTGTGAACAAATTCAGATTTAAAGGGGTGGTTGATTGCGATTTCACTTTTTTTAATGTTAGTGTGTAATGTTGCTGTTTGAGCATAAACAATATCTGCAAAGTTGCAGCACTGAAAGTTCGATGCAAACAGAGATATCATCTTTTAAAATTCTGGCAGTTTAATGCCTACAGAAACAACTCGTAGGGACTACAACGAGCTACTTCCCGGGTTTGTGACATCACAAACCCAGATAAACCTCACCCCTGGGAACACACAACGAAGGGGGCGAGGCCATGCTGCGCTGCTTTAGAGAAGAGAAAGAGAAAACTAGGGGTGCACGTAAAAATGTATTCATATATGAATCGCGATTCTGTCTTCTAACGATTCTAATGGATTCACAAGTTTCAAAATCAATGCTCTAAAGCAGCGGTTCTTAATCCTGTTCCTCACATCTCCCTGCATCTCTCTCTCTCTCTATCTCTCATTCAGATCACCAGCTCAGCTCAAACAATGAACTGTTAGATTTATACACTTATTTTCACATAGCTATGAGAAGCGTTATACATGGACGGTTGCCGTACTGTATTAAAGCATTAATCAGGATAAAACTGTATATTAAAAGATAACAGAAGCAGTACCATTTACAAATAACAGCGTATATAAAAGTATGAGACTACAATCAAAAAACATACCATTAAGAGCCGTGCTTGCACAGGTTTTGCATGACCTTTTTCACTATATCCTCTGCATCTCAATCGGGCACAAACTGTTAAGCAATATAGACGACACCATTGTTTACAATATAACCGTAGCACATGCTGCTGAGGTGAGGGGCGGGACGCTTAGACATGCACTAGAGGCGGTTTAGCCAATCATAACACACTGGACCAGCTAACCAATCTGAGCCCATTGCGTATTTCTGAGGGCGGGGCTTCATAAAATCAGGAAATGATCAGCGCGTTTCTCAGAGAAGGGACAGAGCGGTGTAGAATAAAGATAAATTAAGTGAAAAATAATGCATTTAACATTAAAGGGTTTGTTCACCCAAAAATTAAAATTAGCCTATAATTACTCACCCTCAAATCATCCTAGGTGTATATTCATTCATTCATTCACTTTATTTATAGATCACTTTACAACTGCACCTGCAGACCAAAGTGCTGTACAATAATAAAAAAAAACACTTCATTAAAACACACGACTTAAAACCACACAGATCCTACTAACAACAAAGACTAGCCCACCCTCTCAAAGGTTAAAGACAAGAAGTAGTTTTTGACTTCAACTTTAAAAACATTCAAAGATGAGACTTCTCTAAGTTCCTGAGGAAGACTATTCCAGAGCTTCGGCCCCACAACAGCAAAGGCCTGATCCCCTTTTAACTTTAAATGAGTACGAGGGACAGTAAGCAATAACTTATTATTGGATCTTAGAGACCTAGGTGCTTGACAAACAGCAACGAGCTCAGACACGTAAGCAGGGGCCAACCCATGCACTGCTTTAAAAACATACAGAAGAGTTTTATATTTTATCCTGTAGTTCACTGGTAGCCACTTGAGAGAAGCTAAAATAGGAGAGATATGATGACTTTTCTTAGCACCCACTAGCAGCCTAGCTGCTGCATTCTGAACTAATTGCAAGCGTGAGATAGTGGTCTGACAGGACTCCACATACAACACATTGCAATAATCCAAACGAGACAAAACAAAGGCATTAATAACCTTCTCTAAGTCTTTTCTTGGCAGAATAGGCTTTAGTCGAGCAATAGACCTAATCTGGAAAAAAACAAGTCTTTACTACAGCATTAATCTGCTAGTCAAATTTCAGCTCTGGGTCAAACACCACACCTAAGTTCTTTATTTGGTAACGGCAATAATTAGACCATGAGCCCACATACGTGGACATATCTAAACATCCTCTGGCAGGGCCAAAAAACATAATATCAGTTTTACTCTGGTTCAGCTGAAGCAGATTTTGAGTCATCCAGCTCTTAACCTCCTCTAGGCATGCAAAAAGCAAATTAGAACCATTGTTCTCTCCCACTCTCATAGGTAAATAGATCTGAGTATCATCCACATACAAATGGTACGACATGCCGTATTTTTTAAAAATGGCTTTAGTCGAGCAATAGACCTAATCTGGAAAAAAACAAGTCTTTACTACAGCATTAATCTGCTAGTCAAATTTCAGCTCTGGGTCAAACACCACACCTAAGTTCCTTATTTGGTAACGGCAGTAATTAGACCATGAGCCCACATACGTGGACATATCTAAACATCCTCTGGCAGGGCCAAAAAACATAATATCAGTTTTACTCTGGTTCAGCTGAAGCAGATTTTGAGTCATCCAGCTCTTAACCTCCTCTAGGCATGCAAATAGCAAATTAGAACCGTTGTTCTCTCCCACTCTCATAGGTAAATAGATCTGAGTATCATCCACATACAAATGGTACGACATGCCGTATTTTTTAAAAATGGAACCCAGGGGCAACATATACAATGAAAATAAAATAGGGCCAATAACAGAACCATGGGGGACCCCACAAGTAACAGGCACTGCCGTTGAAACAAAGTTACCATACTTTACAGAGGATGATCTATGTGACAGATAAGACTTAAACCACTCTAAAACGGTCCGACGAATTCCAATTAAATGGGATAACCACTTTATAAGAATCACGTGGTCTATTGTGTCAAAAGCTGCACTTAAGTCCAATAAAATCAGAGCTGCCGCGTTACCTGCATCTCTGATTATACGGAGGTCATTAACAACTCTTAAAAGTGCAGACTCAGTGCTGTGACCTGCCCTAAAACTAGACTGAAATTTGTCTATGATCTCATACCTACTTAAAAATGGCATTAACTGGGAATAAACCATCTTCTCTAAAATCTTTGATAGGCATGGTAATTTTGAGATGGGCCAATAATTCTTCAGTTCTAAAGGGTCTAAATTAGGCTTTTTAAGAAGTGGCTGAATAACCACCTGCTTAATGCCTGTTGGAACAAGTCCATTATGAAGACTACTGTTAACAATAGAAGTAATACTCAGCCCAACAACATCAACCATCTCCTTAAGAAGATATAAAGGAACCACATCGCAACCACCAGATGTAGGCTTCAAACGCATAATGATGTCCATAACTTGCGCCAGAGACACCTGCTCAAAGAGTTCAAAACTCCTTACACAAGCTGATGTGTAATATCACATCTCCAATATCACAAACTCAACTGAAGACGTAAGCAGACTAGTTCTAATCTTTTCTACTTTTTCCACAAAAAATGTCTGAAACATTTCACATACCTCCAATGAGGGGGTCAAGGTAGAAGATCCATTTGGATTGAGAAGTCTATTAATTGTTGAGAAAAGGGCTGCAGGGGCATTATAATTCTGTGCAATGACACTTGAGAAATAATTTTGCCTTGCAGTTCTCACAGCTGCCTGGTAGTCTGAAAAACACTGCCTCATAAATTGAAGTGAAACCTGTAGCTTATCCTTTCTCCATTTCCGTTCAGCCTTCCTGCCTCAGAGAACAAGTATAGTTGTTAAGCCATGGAGTTGGATTAAGTTTAGGTTTCCTAATTTTATATGGGGCCACTACATCTAAAATATCGGAGCAAACAGAATTGAACAATATCAACAGCTCATCTGGGAAGGAGACTCAATCACATTCACAAATGAAGCAGAATTATATAACTCAGAAAATTCTACCGCCGTGGATGAAGTAATAAGACTAGAACAAAACACACCTGACTGTGGCAAAACTGGTTTGCATGGCATAACAACATTAAAAATTACAGGCATGTGATCAGACAGACCATAATTTAAAACATTGACATTACAAATAGGAAGGCCCAGAGATAAGACCAAGTCCAAAATATGGCCTTGCTCATGGGTTGGATTTGAAATAAACTGTGTGAAATTAAAAGAGTCCACCAGCTGTAAAAACTCAGAGACCATAGGCTTATTTGGACATCATATATATGACTTTCTTCTTTCAGATGAATCCAGTCGTTTTATAAAAAATTGTCTTTGATCTTTCAAGCTGTTTCATTGCATGCATCAGTCCAAAAGAAGGTAAATAAAAAGCGCCCATCCATTAAAAAAAACAAAGGCCTTCTGTAGCGAATCGATGCGTTTTTGTAAGAAAAATATCCTTATTCAAAACGTAATAATCACTTTAATGTAGCTTGCGCTCACTGTTGTACATGGAACCAGTTCCGGGCGGATGACGTATGAGGTCAGCTTTGCGCATGCGCCGCTCAGAAGTGACGCACGTGGAAGCACAGGGGAGAGATCAAAACAAAACAATGGTCACTAATTAGAAGTACAAAACGAGGATTTGTAAAGAAAAATGTCGGAGGATTTTAATATAAGCCAAAGAGGAGACTGGTTTTCCTTTGCTAAAGTAAGGAAACTTTGCTTCCTTTGCTCCTGTTAACAAACGTTGGTTTTCACGAGACTCAACGGCGCATGCGCAGCGCTGACCTCATACCTCATCAGCCCGGAACTGCTTCCGTGTACAACTGTTGGCGCAAGCTACATAAAAGTGATTATTACGTTTTGAATATCGATATTCTTCTTACAAAAACGCATCAATCCGCTACAGAAGGCCTTTATTCACCCCCCGGAGCCGTGTGAGA